TCTCTCTCTCTCTCCCTCCCTTCTCCTCTCTAAAATAAATAAATAAAATCTTTTTTAAAAAGAAAATAAGATAAACAGATGTATATTTAAAATATAATCACAAACATAAAATGTAATTGAGTTAGAATGTGAAGTTAAGAAAATATCTCAAAGAGAGATGAAAAAGACAAGAGATATGATGAGACAAGGTAAATTATGAGGTTTAATAATTAGAACTTCCAAAATGCAATATAGAAAAAAACAGTGGGGAAGGAATTCCAAAGACATGACACCAACAACAAAAATCCTACAACTGAAATGTTAACTATTCAGGTTTTAAAGGTCCACTAAATACACAGCACAATATGATTAAAAAAAATACCCATGTCAGGGCACAAATAAAAATTTTTTAGCATTCCAAGGATAAAAAGAAGATCCAAAAACTTTCACAAATGAAAAGTCACCACTATCAGAAGAAAATCTGATGTCTCAAAAAATGGTGAATGGGAGAAGGCAATGAAGAAATGTCTTTCAAATTCAGAAGAAATTCTTTACCTAATAAAACTATGAATCAAATATGAGGTTAAATGAAGAGGTTTTAAAACCCTTCTCTGCCATGAAGTTATATTAATAAGGTCTTTGTAGAGGTACCTTAGCAAAATGGCAGGAAGCCTGACACCCTACAAGTTACATGCTGGTAATGTCAGTTGATACTATCTAAAGTTGGGAAACCAAGAAATAGCAGCCCGTCCTTTATTTAGATGTGTCATAAATACAGAAGAAATAGCTAAATGAGTTTGGAGTGATTGCCAATGGAAAGCAAGATTTGATGAGGAGAGGGTTGGAGCAAGGTACTGTTGTTTTGCATTATAAGGCCTTTAGAACTATTTCAAGTTTAAATGTCATACAGTACAAAAGAGAATAATACATTGATAAAAATAAAAATACATTAATTTTTTTAAGATTTTTATTTATTTATTTTTAGGGAGGGAAGGGAGTCCGGGGGGGGGAGAGAGAGAGAGAGAGACATCAATGTGCAGTTGCTGAGGGTTATGGCCTGCAACCCAGTAATGTACCCTAGCTGGGAATTGAACCTGGGACACTTTGGTTCCCAGCCTGCACTCAATCCACTGAGCTACACCAGCCAGGGCTAAAATACATTAATTTTTAATTTAAATCTATGTTTTCCACTGTTGTACTAATGTACACCCCCATCACCAGTAAGGGGGAGTAGATGATTATTTTATGTATGACTCTTGTTACTTAGCAAACATTTTTCTCCAGAATGGTAATGTAATGAAGACCTGGATTTGGCACAGGTAGAGAACCTATATTAACCTATACCTAAGATAGTCATTACATCAGCAGGCAGTATGGAATGGTAGAAAAAATAGCTAGACCCAAGTACAAACAATGGAACACTTCACTAACTGGATGGTTTGAGAAAACACATGTTAATTCTTCCAGCATCACCTTCTCCACCTCTAAATAGGAAATGGAGCTGCTAATGCCCATGGTGGGGAGAGGGAGAAGGAGAGAGAGAAGCATATTAGTATCCCAGTAAACTCTAAGTGCTGGTCCATTGCTCTCATTCATAACTAACATATCTGAATGGTCGTAAGTGACTTGAGTCATTTAATGGCTTGTGTTGAGTCCTCCCCCTCCTCCAGAGGCAAGAACATGAATGTTAGTAATTTGAGAGAAGATTCCAAGAAATAGCATTAGGGAAAGTGGGAAGGGTAAGAACATTTCTCAGCATTATTTCAACTAAGGGGTAAAGAGGCAGAGATATCTATGAACTCCCATGTGTCATTGACTGAGAGCTACTTCTAAGGGCCATTCAATCCTGAGCACTTTCAGCCGTGCCCCTTGCGCCCTCAGAATGAGCTCTGTCCCCCAGAGAAGTGCTCTTGGGGAAAGAATCAGTATCAGTTATCTTTTATAACCATAACTGGTTAATTATAGTGTTTGGAGCTCTCCAAACTTCATCCCAGTAAAATTAAATCATGAAACTGGAACACTATAGAAACTTCCAGAAGAAGCAAAAACAGGTGTAAATAATGCTTTTATATTGTCAAATTTAGAAATTATAGACTTAAAGTTCTTAGATAAGTTTCAGTTACAGAAATGTTATAGTTTTACTTGATATTTAGATAATTTAAACACTGTGTTGAAACTGCCTTCTGAGAAAGATAAAGAAAAGTTGTTTAGAGACTATTTAAATTCTTATGACCACAGAAGTACTAAACAAAGAGAATTTTGGGAAGTTAGCCAGGTGGATCAAAGGTCTTTAAAATTACACTATACATGTTCTGATCTTTGTTTTTGTACTTTAAAAATCAAATGAACTTTTGTCATTCTTTTGGCTGCCCAGCATGTGAACCCCTTCCTATGTTTGGGGAATTCTTGACCTTTCAAGTCTTGGTGGGATGCAGAAACAGCCTTTCAGTATAAAAATGGAAAGTTCTAGATAATTGCTCTTCTAACTTCCTTTGCAGCCAACAAGCCTCAGCCAATCCAAAGTCCTCTTCCAAGAACTTGATTAGGCATCTCTGATGTACAGAAGCAGGGATGGTAGACCACTGTCTCTGAATGCAGTGGCAGTCGTAGCAAATTAGTTCCTGGGGGCAGCAATGATGCTCTGCTAGCTCTGTTCAGTGACACGTGACAGGACATGAGTTGAGGCATCTAGTGACTGGTAATAGTGACTGTGATGTTTCCACTTAAACCAGATCTTTGATGTGGTTTGGGTCTTTATGACCCATGGGCTGCATGTTCTTTAGTCTTCTCAGAAATTCTGTAAGCTATGTAACATCTCTCGGTAAATTCCAGTGAGTCAAAGCTGATTTTAGTTAGTTTTAATGATTTCTTTAACAAGAAAGTTTAATGCTTCAAAACTTAGGACCAGGGAGTTGAGTGTTTTCAGTAGCAAATGCTAACATACAGAATTGGCAATAATAGATTTCTGAACTCGTTTTAACACAATGCTGCTCAGTAGTAAGAAAATACATCTTTTGAACGCTGGTTCCAGACATTACCATACAAAAAAAATTAACTGGGAGATTATCCCAGAAGGCAGAACCAGGGATCATGAAGGACCACCGGGGGGGTGCGATTTTTAAATACAAACCAACCAATCCAGAGTCTCCCCCAACCACCTCTCTTATAGGAATCTCATACTGCAGCCTACTATAAACATCTTAATCACCCCAGGCTAGCTCAAACAAGAAATTGCTCATCAGTAAGCCATTGAGTAAATTTGGGTTAGATATTAATAGAATTTATAAATCTGTGATTAAATATTGATAGAACTGAAGGTGCATGATAGAAGAAACCATGTCTGTTTCACTTAGCACTGGATACCCAGAGATACTATGTTCTACTTGGCACAGCAGAGCAGAAAGAGGAAATAGAGGAGGTGGAGGAAGAAAATTATACTGGTTATTTTTTAGCTTATGTATTATATTTAATGCTGCCATCCATTTCCTGCATTGTCTCCCCCTTAATTTAGCAAAGGAGATGACTTTGAATAGGTTTGCTCGTAGAATACTTCTTACATAGCATGACTGGGATGAGGAATAGGAAAACATTCTCAGTGCTTTCTTATGCTTTATAAATAGAACTGTAGGGAGAAAGGAGGATACATTGACCAGAAAGACTGAAGGCTCCAGTTCCAGAGGGCAAAGGATCCTGTGATTTAAGGGAAGTGCTGATAGGAAGTACCTGGAAGTAAAGATTTAATGCTTAATACCTGGGCCAACAGACCATGGGATGCACTGTAATCGGATAGAGTTTGCTTTTCAGAGGTCACACTCCTTAAAGAGTTTAACTGAACCATTCAGCTAGATGAAGGTGACAAGATGGAGGATGGGATACTAACTAGGGCAAGAGGGGCCATGAGTCAAGGCTAAGAGGTTCCCCCCTGCCCTTGTCCTTGGGTGGTGGCAAAGGAACACCTTGTTTGGAATAAGACATCATTTCCCATAATATGTGAAGAGGATTTTAGTCTTTGAACAGTAGATGTCTTTGGAAGGAAGGACATGATCATGAAAATGGGCTTTGGTAGGTGCATTTTTTTTAAGATTTTATTTATTTGTTTTTAGAGAGGGAAGAGAGGGAAAAAGAGAATCATCAATGTGCAGTTGCTGGGGGCCGTGGCCTGCAACCCAGGCATGTGCCCTTACTGGGAATTGAACCTGTGACACTTTGGTTCACAGCCTGCGCTCAATCCACTGAGCTACACCAGCCAGGCCTGGTAGGTGCATTTTGAATAAAAGACAGAGCCAAAGTTTCTGCCCAAGAGGAAGCAACTCTGTATAGCACTAAGAAAAAGCTGGAACTGAGTGGGGGATTCTGGGAGAATTGTCCAGATGGGCCCCTCAGCTGGTATTGGATATAGGAGGGACTATATGGAGAATTGCATTAAGTCATTGACTAAATGATTTGTGTTATAAACTGTCTTCACCAGTTTTTCCTCTTTGCAATCTGGTAAAATGTATGTTGTTAATATTTTATAAAACATTTTCTTGGTAGGAGAATGAGTGTAATTGCTCTGTCATACTTTAATGTTAGCACTAACTGAAACTGTCTTAGTCTGTTCAGATTGCTGTAGTAGAACACCATAAACTAGATGGCTTATAAACAAGATTATTTTTTTCATAATTCAGGAGGCTGGGAAGCCCACGATCGAGATGCCAGAGCATTCAGTGTCTGGCGAGAGCCCGTTCCTGGTTCAAGATGGCCATTTGCATCTTCACATGGTGGAAAGAGAAAGAGCTCTCTGGGGATCTTTTATAAGGACACTGAGCCCATTCATAAAGGACCCCCCCCTCATGACCTAATCACCTCCCAAAGACCCCACCTCCAAATACCATCACACTGGACATAGGTTTCAACATGAATTTTGGGGGTGTACACATCAGTTCATAACAGAAGCCCGGACTACATGTGGAGATGGCCAATATCAAGTTAGCCTCCATTTAGTCATTTTATCTGCCACTTTTAAAGAATGTTCTACTAAATTCATTGAAATAACATTTAATCACATATATAAACTTCAGGTGTACGTTATATCTGTATGCTCAGTTGTGTGCTCACCAGTTGTTTCCTTCTGTTACCATATATTTGATCCTCTTTACCGTGTCCTCTCCCTGACTCCTTCCCTTCTGACAACCTATGTGTTTGATTGTTCGTCTGTTGCTTGTTTTATAACCCACATATGTTCTTCTTAAGAGGCCCTGGGAAGGAAGGCCACCTGGACACAAAGAAAAAAGAGGTGAGAGGGAATGCTACAAACTGAATAGGACTCTTGACCTGGATGAAAACAGCCCATGTAGTCTGGGAAGCTCTGTGGCACATGCAAGAACCTACCAAACAGGAAGAAAAAAAAGTATGTCTTCCCAGGGTTCCTTTTGGACTGTAGAGATGAAACCATCGTTTTCAAGTCAGACTGACTAAATTCTGGTTTCTCTCTGGGCATATTATTTGCTAGTTTCTATCATTTATCAAACTCTCTTTTTTTTTTCTTCCAACTACTCCAGTTGGGTCTCAGCTGGGCTAGTTCAAGGGGAAAAGGAGATCAGGTTACAAGGTTGGGCCAGTTAGCTAACAGGGCAAGAGCACCTCCCTGTGGCTGAGTGGCAGGAGAGCAAGAAACGTTAGCTTCTGGATCTACCCTAGGGAGGAGAAATCCAAGGCAATAATTTGTGGAAGATATAAACTTTAAGTGGTATTTTCCTTAGACCTTCTTTTCTTTGGCACCCAGGGTTACAGGCCATGAGGTCCGAGTGCAGAGAAAATATAAGTTCACAATAGCTGCTGAAGATTGTAAAGCCATTACATGTGTTTTGGAATGAAATAAACACTATCATCACAATTGGTATTTGTTTTGTTGCTAAGGCCATCAGATATGTTAGTCATTTTTTGGGGTATGGCAGGAAAATAATGTTTAAATGAGTATATAAATCAAAGCCTCTCTACTGGTATTGTTAATCTAGAAGAAAGTATTGCACAGATAATAGTAAGGGCAAGGACATTTAGTCCAGGCATTCAAATGGGACTGAATCATTTTAACATGGTTCACTGGTGGAATATCTCACCAAGTTACTATAGATTATATGCTACTTAATAAAAAATAGCCATGATAAAGTTTTTTTCTCTTCAGCATTTGCTTTAAGAGAAAAATTCTGAAATTTGTAGGGATTTCTTTTTAATTTAATTTTACTTTTATTGACTTTATTCAGATGACATTGAATAATAAAATTATTTAGGTTTCAAGTGTACAATTCTATCATGCATCATCTGTATTGCCTGTTCAGGCATTTCTGATGTCAGGAAGTCATAATATGTAAGACTACATTTCACAATTAGGGTAACTTAGCTCATGATAACTGGCATATGCATAATTATAATTTGCATTCCAGTTACTTAAACTTAGATATTCTTGGTCAGGTTGAACATACTGTGAGTAAAAGATCTCTTTTTCCAACAGATGAGGTGGAGAGAGTCTTTGGAGAATGGCCTCATTGAACTGGTAAGTTAGTTTTCTTCGGATTTTGGTGATTTCCCCAGTTCTTCCATAATTCCTCAGTGCTCTGGCCATTTTCTGGTACGTCATGGTCTTCCGGTTGCCTTTTCTTTTCCCCCAAAGTTGGGCAAGTTTTTCTTTGTTTTTTGATATAAACTGAAAGATGCCTTTACTTTTATCTACCCACTGAATACAACATGCCATCTCGGGATTACACAGGGATTCGTAAAGGTATTCGAACAGTCGGAGCTTCTTCCTGCCTAAAAAAAAAAAAAAACAATGGGGAAGACACAATGTTATACTCCACTCATTATGGCATCAAGACACATCTGCAGGAGAGGTCTGTTGAGTGACCACAGAGTGGAAAGCTGCCCTGGAAGTGGTGTTCCTCCTCCTCTGGTGTTCCACCCCTTTAGGGGTGCCTTTATGGCATCATTTTATGGGACTTGAAAGTCAAGGGTCTATTTGACCTATTGAAGTTTCAACTGGAGCTTTCTCTGTCAGAGAATTTGCCCAAAATTTTGTACCATCTTTCAATGAAAAAGGGAAACCAGGAGCTTCTTTACCAGAGTTTCCCATTTGTCCTGCGGTCTTTCTTTCCAGTTAAATCTTAACTAGTAGTTTTATGTCATATGTTCAACTTTCTACAAGCCAACAAAACTAAGCAAAATGGATGGCAAACGTTTACTGGTTTTAAAAGAGAACCCTAAAAAGCCATGTACAGAAAGTAAGTTATTTGAAGGTCTTGATTCAAATGAGTTAAGTCAAATGAAGTAAGGAGTATGACTCCATTTTGTAAAATGCAAAACCCTATGCAAATCTAAGTGAAACCAATAACAAAGACAGGTAAAAATGTGAACTCTGGGTCTATTATTTCTCAAAAAATCAAGTATAGAAAAAACTGGAGTGGAAAATGCCAAAATATGTTCATGACATTTTGACATTGCTTATGAGTGATGGCAATGACCATGGGCATTGTGATATTTTTCATTGCTGTTACACAAGGCGCCACTACCAGAGTTCTTATCTCTTTAGGAACACAGTCCTTTAGATTTCAGAATAACTCAGCAGGGAACTTTGAGAAAAGTTGTTGTTTTTGTTTGTTTGTTTTTTATTGGACTTCATTAGCTGAAGAGAGAGCGAAGGTGATAGCCCATGTGGTGACTCCTGAATTGGCCTGTTAATGCCATGCCTCACCAGCTCTTTCAGGAGCTAAAAAAATCCATGGCCAAATTCCATTTCCCCCTTGAGAAAGTAGCATAGTGGATTCCAAAACTGCTTTAAATAGCCTTTGGGGAGTAATCCTCTTGCATCAGTCATCATTCATCCAAAAACCTCAAAGGTTTTGACAAAGATTATCTTTTGCATTAAATTATTTTGAGTTTATGAATTGAGAAATGAAAGGGACTTACCAAAAACACATCATGAATTAAAGTCACAACCTTAAACAAACTCTCTGCCTGTCAGCCAGTGGTCAAGTCAATTATAATGGATCCTCATCTTTTTTTAACAAAACGTTTAAATTTTTATATTTTAAAAGATAAAAGTGCACTGGCTGGCGTAGCTCAGTGGATTGAGTGCGGGCAGTGAACCAAAGCATCACAGGTTCGATTCCCAGTTAGGGCACATGCCTGGGTTGCAGGCCATGGCCCCCAGCAACCGCACATTGATGATTCTCTTTCTCCCTCCCTTCCCTCTCTAAAAATAAATAAATAAAATCTTTAAAAAAAGTTAAATGCATCTGTTATTAAAAAAAGATAAAAGCATTATATGCTTATAGCAAATGACTAAAACAGAAGCATAAAGTGAAAATAAAAGTGCTAGTCTAACCTACATAGTTCTAGAAAGTGTTTCTTATTTTTTGCCCATATGAACATATGCATATTCTTTAAAAATTACAAATGGTATACTCTTTTGCACTTTTTAAAACAAATGATGTATCATAAATTAAATCATAGGACAATACAGTGATTAACTATAGGTAGAGGAAATAACTAAACCATTGACAATAATTACTTCTGGGGCATAACATGGGAAGAGAGAAGGAACACTTTCACTCTTTAAAATTAGTGTTATTACTTTTCAATTATGGAATTTAAAAAGATTAAAACCCAAAAAGTAAATGTATTTTAGAGTTCTTTCCCTATCAATATATAAGGTACATCTTCATGACTTTCAATAGCTATGTATGTTCTACTTTATGCATGTACTTTTTCTCCCAGTAATGAATTTCCAAATTACTGTTTTATCCTGGTTCAAATGTATCTCTATTTCAGGTGGAAGATAAACCTCTAAACAGAAAATTGTGAATGATATGTCTCCTAACAGCAAATCTCTACAACAAAAATATCAATGAAAAAATAAAGGCTTCACGCCCTGGAGTGAGTGAGTGAGTTATTTAACAAAACTGAGTGACAAGCTAAGCTCCTTATATTAACTTACTACCACAGCTAAATATTTAATACTAATATTCCATGATACAAACTTATTTTTCTGTGTCATTTTTTGTACATTATTCTTCACTGAGTTAGAACATCACTGCATATTTAGAATTGTAGGACCCAGTATACTGTTTTCAGGAACAAAATTAGTTTTCAAAAAAAATATTCACTTAAAATAATTTTAAGTAACTATGATCAAGTATCATTTTAAAACTTGCATTGTAGAATTTAGATGCACCTTATATACAATGAATATGATGGGCGAGTTGCCATTTTTTTACTCTCACAAACAACATTTACTTATGTATGTATGTGTATGTACACACTCATGCATCTATGGTAGTTTGAGAAATTATCCACAGTACCAGGCTATGAATATAGTGCTTTACAAGGGTTTCCTCATTTAATTTTTACACTACCCTTATAGTGTCTGTACAATTAATATTACGTTTTTTGAATAAGAAACCTGTGGTGCAGAAGGTTAAGTGATTTGCCTAGGTTCACACAATTAACCCAGAGCTCACCATCAACCACTGAGTTACATAGTCCCTTAAAGTCAAAAGATATGAGCACTTAAAATTTTTTTCTTTTTTTTTTTAGCGCTTAAAACTTTGATAGACTTTTGAGAGGTGTTGTCAAATTGCCTTATAAGACTTTGGAATAATTTACAACCCCTTCAATAGTGTGTGTGAATGTGTGTGGCTCACATCTTAGCCATCAGAGGCTACTTTGGCCCATCTGTAAGGTGAGATCATCATCCTCTTAACTTATAAAATCAGGGTTTAACATTTATAAAACATGAAACTATTATGGAAATTTTTTTTTGCAGAAAACTTAATAGAGAAGATGATTTCTATCCTGAGGGTTTCACACTTGGAATAAGATTGTTAAAATAACTTGTGAAAAGTTTTCTCCTTCTATACCTAAAATATAAATTACACACATTATTAATTTATTTGAGCTAAGCGGACACTTTGCGGCTTCATAATATCTCTATGAATAAGAAGGCTCACCCAAGATGAAAAGCTTAGTGTGCTTCAGTCTGTCTGAGCTAAATGATGCTCGACTGTGATTAGAGAATATTTTGCAATACAATTCCAAACTTATATATGAAATCCCCTTAAAGCCACTTTGAGGGAGACGGTGTTCTTTTACCTACAGAAAGAGAGGTAGATCCATGTACCTTTCACTCCTTTTTGCTGGAGAACAGGAGGTTGTACCAGCTGGTTTTCAGGGATGTTCTGCAGAGACTGATGGGTATTTCCTTCAAAATAGAGGTCCGAAGCACTGTTCTGTACAAACAATGCAGCAGGGTGTTAAGTGGGACTTTCCATGTGGCTCCTAGTTAGTGGCTCAAGTCAAAGGCTGGGGGCAAAAATAGTGCTAAACATCTCCCAAATTCTAAAAAGCACTATACCCTCAACTGCAGCCAATTATCTCCCAGAACAGAACTAGCATACACAGAGAGGACCGAGAGATAGAGGGTCATCTTTGGGTTTGTGAGGAATTACATATTTTCTTCCCTTTATGAGAACAGACAGGAGATGGCTTCCCTCCTTTCCCCTAAAAACACCCAGTGAGCAAAAGAGATCTGAAAGAATCATGAATAGAAATGGAGGTGTCAGCAAAAAGGGAAGATGAGCTTTCATTCCTGCTTTGGATGCTCATCCAGGCAAGAGGAGATTAGAGGAGAAAGATGTCAGCCAGAGGAGAGCAGAGCCAAGAGAGGGACAGCAGGCAATAGCCTGAGCTTCTACCATTACATATGACAAGGATGTGTGGGTCTCCGGGGGTTAATTACACACCATGCAAGGGGTTGAGCTCGAGCCATCTTACCACACCACACACGAGAGGGCTGCCCAAAAGGCAAGGACTTCCCAACCACAACAGGCAGTATGGTGTATGTACGCCAGGGTGTGGGAATTGAATGGAAGCAGGGTTGCCAGATTTAGCAGATGGAAATATTGGGCATCCTGTATTTTACCTGGCAACCCTAAGTGGAGGCAGAAGAGCTTAAGCTGGAACCCAAAACTCCCTCTTTAAAGAAATGTCTCACGAAAAGGTCATGACAGAACAATTTACAGGATCAGAAAAAGGACTTTTTTCATAGCATGGTTGCAGCTAGTGACTGAAGAAAAATTACATTTCCTATGTATATCCCACCACATTAAGGTGACTTTAATAAAACGAATACATTAAGAAAACAATGTAAAAGAGCATGTGAGTGGAGAGATAGATGGAGGGGCATCTCCTTTTGCAGGAGTCTACTGAAATATGAATTAATCGGCCCACTACATGTAGCTAGCTCTGAGCTTGAGGGGTGAGGAATAGAGCAAGTTGAGATAAAATTGTAGGTAAAGCCAGAGCAGGGGATATGTAGGCCTCTGCCCTCTGGCTTTTAGGAAACTATCATAACTTTTTTTTTTTTTTTTTTGCAATTTTCCAGATGGACCAAGGAGAAGCAGTGATGTTAGAACTTTGAAAAAGCCTCTTCTTTTTTTAAAGACTTTATTTATTTGTTTCTAGATAGAGAGGAAGGGAGGGAGAAAGAGAAAGAAAAACACCAATCAGTTGCCTCTCCTATGTGCCCTGTCTGGGCAAACCCGCAACCCAAGCACATGCCTCGACAGGGAATTGAACCAGCAACCTTATTTATTTATATTTTTTTAATATAGTTTATTGACTATGCTATTACAGTTGTCCCATTACCTCCTCTTAATTCCCCTCCACCCTGCCCACCCACATTCCCTCCTTTAGTTCATGTCCATGTGTCATAAATTCTTTAGCTTCTACATTTCCCATACTATTCTTGCCCTCCCCCTGTCTATTTTCTACCTACCATCTATGCTACTTATTCTCTGTACCTTTTCCCCCCCTCTCCTCCTCCCACTCCCCTGTTGCTAACCCTCCATGTGATCTCCATTTCTGTGGTTCTGTTCCTGTTCTAGTTGTTTGGTTTCTTTTTATTTTTGTTTTAGATGTGGTTGTTAATAATTGTGAGTTTGCTGTCATTCTACTATACATGTTTTTTTATCTTCTTTTTCTTAGATAAGTCCCTTCTAACATTTCATAAAATAAGGGCTTGGTGATGATGAACTTTAACTTGACCTTATCTGAGAAGCACTTTACCTGCCCTTGCATTCTAAATGAAAGCTTTGAACCAGCAACCTTTTAGATTGCAGGAGGATGCCCAACCCACTAAGTCACACCAGTCGGGGGGGGGGAGCCTCCTCTTAAATAGAAGTCATTCAAACTAGTCTCCAGCTGGGGGAAGAGCAATGACAAAGGGCAGTTTCCTTCTTCACTGCATTGCCAATCATCACCCACATTGACTATCAAATTCACACCATGGATGGTGGCCATGAATAAACCTTTTCCCAGGCAGTGCTGTGTTTAAGCTGGGTTTCAGCGAGCACATGCCAAGTGCCAAGTGGAAGGCTGGAGCAAATAGGAAATTTGCCTGTTCCTGAGGGAGAGTCTCCTGGTACGTATACTCACTATTACTGTTCTCCAGCTGTAGACAGGTTCCTCTGTAGGCAGCATACTGTAGTAGCTGGAATTTCCTCTGGCATGGGCGTGGGGACAGTGGTTGATGAGACTCAAGTAATTTTTGTAATCTAAATTAAAAGCAGAAAGAAAGTGAAAAAGTGAAAGTTTATTTTCGTGTGTGCTCATATATGCAATCGCTCCCACTGTGTTCTTTTATCACTTTGCGTTTCCCTGTGGTGCTTGTTGTGTTATACTGATATTACAGATATTCTTTTACATATTCCATTTTTTCTGCTAGAGTACACACTCCTTGCAGGTCAAGAGCCCATCATTTCTTTTATCTTAGAACTTCCTGCAATACCCTGTGTAGATTCGACTGTCAAAATGTCTACATCTCACCTGGACTGTACATCTAAAATATCTGTAGGATAATGGGTAGGAGGGAATACTTACTCCTCTAGATGGATGGGTGGAAGATCTTTAAGATAAGTCAGAATAGCTGAAACGCCCTTTCTGAACAGTAAAAATCATCTGTCTATTGAATAAGTAAATATCAACCAGATATACTTAATAGCAGATAGTTATAGGTTTTAGTATTCTTGTATGGAACATCATTCTCTATATTTTATGTCAGATTTTGGATTTATTTAGGCTAGGGAACCCTGGATGCATGCTTTGGGTGAAAATGGTCATTTCTTTTCTGATCATTTTCTTATCGTACACGTGTATGTTACCAACAAGCCATCTGGTGTAAGAGCAGAAGGGGCTGACATTTTACCTGTGGGGTATTGCAGATCTCCAGCTGAATGTTGCCTCAGTACCTCAAAAGCATCTTCAAACGCTTGACCCAGCTTATCTTGTTCAACACAAGCCTGTTAGAACAATGACGGAACTCTGGAGTCGGGGAATTACCAATTAAATATAATTTTCCTGATAGAAAGGAGGGTTGCTCAACCATGGCACTACTGACATTTTAAGTTGGTTAAGTCTCAGTTGTGGGGGTGCTGTCCTGGGCATTATAGGGTGTTTAGCAGCCTCTGCCCTCTGACTCCTCACTAGATGCCAGTAGTGCTCCAATAGTTGTGACAGCAATAAGTATCTCAAATACATTCAAATATACCCTGAGACAAAATTGATCCTGGTTGAGATCTATGGCTAATACTGGTATTCATTCTACAGTATAGGGCTTAACATTCTTGTAAAATTTTAGCAAGAAGTTGTATAGGTGGAGACTGATTTGGAAAAGGGAGCCCTGGCTGGTGTGGCTAAGTAGATTGAATGCCCGCCGGCCTGCGAACCAAAAGGTCGCAGATTCAATTCCCAGTGAGGGCACATGTCAGGGTGGCAGGCCACGTCTCCAGTAGGGGGCGCTCAAGATGCAACCACACATTGATGTTTCTCTCCCTGTTTCTCCCTCCCTTCCCCCTCTCGAAAAAGAAATAAAATTTTTAGAAAAGAAAACAGAAAAGGAGATCAAGAAATTATCTTTAATCAGACAGAATCTGAATTGTAACTACTCAACAAAATGAACAAGCAAGCAAAGTCTAGCCAAAGACACTGAAATTGAGAACAGGCTGACAGTGATCAGAAGGGAGAGGGAAGGGGATAAGGGGGGAAAAGGGTGAAAGGTTTACAGGAACAATTATAAAGGACACAATGGGCAAAAACTAGGGCGGGTGGAAATGGGGGAGGGAGGCGGGGAGGGCTGGGGCTGTGGGGATGGGTGGGAGCAAAAGGCAGAAAACTGCTTGAAAAACAATAAAACAATTGTAATAAAAAAGGAAAAAAATAAAAAGACACTGTAGAAGAAAAAATAATAAATGCATTGAGACATGTAATTACACACAAAAATGAAATGCTCTTATTTTCAAAAGCGTGTCTCTAAGACTTAAAATGGAACTGTTTTGCAAACTATTTCATACTGTAATTAATCTGATATAGAGGATGAATAAGGAAACCCTTTTTTTCTCTTTTACTGTTCCCGGAGGTACTGCAATACCCAGTCGGTGCGCAGAATGGAGTGAGCAAGCTCCTAATTCTGTCTCCCGGCTCCAAAAATCCATTTAGTATAATGTCCTTGAGTAAAGGGTGTATCAGATAATACACTAATACAAACACATACTACCCTCGATCTTCACCAAAAGGCCAAGAAGTGATGAATAAGGAAATTTTTAAATGACAACTTACCATACTTCATTAATGAATTGACAATCCTGAAAAAGATTAATATTTAAAAAACAAAATCAGTGTCTCTACTCAATTTGCCTCTGAATTAAGAGACCTTACTCAAAATATTTTCTAAAAATGTCTTATATAAACCAAAATTACCATCTGAATCCTATTTGATGAGTACGAATTTTATTTCTACAAAATTTTCTACTAACATTTTTGGCTTTTCTACCATTACAAAACTTCTTATAATTTAAAAAGCTAAATAGAGTTAATTACCTAAAATACTTGACTTACAGGAATATATTTAAATATTTCAAAATGTTGGAAATCAAAATTCTTTTTCTGTAGCATAGTTATTTGTTTATAGCAATGATTTTTTTTAAAAATTCTTTTAAAAAACATTTCTGATGCTAAATAGCTTTCAGAGAATTTGGTGAAAAGCATGCTTTTTCTCTCATGAAATGTATATACATTACAAATAAAATATACCCTTGGAGACACATTCACGGACTTTCTAAAATCCTGAGTTAAAAACCCTGGTCTATAATTTTATATTATCTACTTTCTTATCTCTGTAAGTAATTTAGCTTTTGTTTTAAATAAACAATTATCACATAGACTCAACAATAAATTTTTTTTTAATCTACCTTCTCTAAAACTACACACATAATTTCATATAACAAGAAAGAGCATGTACATGGTGGATCTCACATTGTCTATCATTTAGCATACCAAAACATTGTTTATACAAGTTCTTACATTTATTTTGCGAGCACAACGAGCTTACTCTAATATTTAACACTGCATAATGCAATGAGATGACATGATCTAATGCTGTTATTATACAAACCCATGACACATCAGTTTGTCAAATGTCTAAATTCTATTCGGCTCTTTGAAATCCCTCTATCATGTCAGTTGAAAGAGAACATGAAAAGAAAATCCATAAAAAAGGTAACTATGTGAGGTGATGGACGTGTTAACTAGTCTTACTGTGGTGATCATTTCCTAATATATGCTCATGTCAAATCATCAAGTTGTACGCCTTAAACTTATACAATATTATATATCAATTATACCTCAATAAAGCTGGGGAAAAGCTATTTTTAAAAAGCCATGTCAGTCACTTTTAATCAACTATGCCTTGACTGATAAGCACCAAAACAAATATATGAGTGTTGTTCTTTGAATACTTAAATGAAGCTACTCTTTTGACTAAAATACCCCCAAAACTATCGCAACTCTTAAGAGTAGCAAGCTCAAAGGGAATAAAGAATTTGAAAACGTATTGATCACTCTCAACTACTTAATATTTCTTGAATCAGAACAGCAGTCAATGAAAAGCACTCATTAGACCAATGGAGGAAATTAATAATTTTTACAAGGTATTTTGAAAAGCATAAGCTCAATACTTACCAGGAAGACACTTCAACCCTTTACAAAAATGTTTCATTAATATCAGAATCGTTAAGACAGAACTGTCAAGAACTCACTGACAAAGTTGCATTAAATAGCTGTTTTTAAGGAAGTGCTACAAAAGGGGATTTTTTTTAAAAGATACAGTGCCTTCATAATCTCTATTTCATGCTACGGCCAGTAGGCCTCAGGGGCTATTATTTTGAAGAGATGTGGAATAGTTTGTATCCTATGGGCCAAAAGCATTAGAACAAACCCCATGAAACCCCCACCCAGCCTACTTTGCAGCCTGGCAGGCCGGCAGAGCCTTAGAAACAATGCTTGTCCACCTTCTCTCGTTTTATTCCCATTACTTCCCCCCTGATTCCGGACCTTATGTTGCCTTACTTATTTCAACTATTAACAGCTTTCATTCTGAGCTTTTCAAATCGGCCTCTTCAATCTTCTTTACTCATACTGTCGTTTGCTCATCATCTTACTCCGTGATCACAAAGGCATGAGCCCTCCTCGCCCTGGCGTTCAGGCCTTAGTCTTCATTCCAGCTTTAGTTTCATTGACCATCATTCGTTTAAGAGGAGGGAATGTTACGCTCAAAATAAAAAATATGTACGCAAAAGTAAGAGATCCGTGGTACGGTCTTCTCCTCACACTCGGATCCAGTGGAGGCTCCAAAATGCTCAGGAGAGGCTTTTGGGTGGTGATCTAGCCACAAACGCTTGAAGCTGCTGCATTTTCAGAGCGGGTCCAGTTCTCTTAGTTAGCTCGGAGGTTTATTTGAGATGGTTTTTGGTGGCTTTGATGGAAACTCCGGGGTGCTCCCGCCGCCTATAATGCCTCTTTCTCAGTCCATCCATCTGCCCGCTCCCCCATTGCATCTTACCTGTTCACTAGAGTCCGACCTAGCCTCCACAGGGACCAGGTGGGAATGGCCTCCTCCTCCGTAGCCAAGTGTGCACTACCCTTAACTAACTGTAACCTTCTGTCATTTTAATAGATATCACATATAGCCAGGGGGGAAACTACCTGGGAATTTTTTTTTTGTAAACCTTGTGGGTAGGGAAGAGATTTTCTGTTTTGCATTGTTGGAATTCTGAAGTCACCTTTGATACGTTGATACATTGATACGTTGATACGGGACTATTGTTCTAGACTACCTACTCTATTGACTGGATTTGTTATGCAAATATAAACAAGCGTCCCGCCCCCCTTCTGAAATGTAGATATTGTATATAATCATTACTATTGATGAGCTTAACCTACACCCTTGACAAATCTATGCCCTTGACAAATCTATGCCCTTGACAAATCTATGCCCTTGACAAATCTACGTACGCCCTTTTAGAGCCACATTTTTATTTGGCTCAACTTTTCAACAAATATGTATTCCTGAGCACTGTCTTGTGTCCAGGCCCGACAGCTCTGTACAAGTTCTAATGAGGACAAGTGATTTAAAGCAAACAAACTAAAGAACTATGAGATAATGTTATGTGCTGAGAAAACAATTAAAGAAAGGGGAGGGAGACAGAGTATGTGGGCCTGGTGAATAGTCACACAAATTGTTCTTGGCAGGAAAATGCATGAGCTGAAATCCAAGTGTAAGAAAAAGTAAGCAAAAGAAAAGCAGAGTTGTAAAGATCCAGAGAAACATCTGACAGAAGAAACAACAAGTACAGAGAGCCTTAGGTGGAAACGAGTTTGGTTTCTTCACGGCACAGAAAGGAAGAGGGGGTGTGTAGGGAGGAGTAGAGGAGGTCTGGAGCAAAATGAGCCTGTGGGCCAACTGGCAAAGTTAGGGAGGATGAAGGGTGGATCCACTCAACCCACACATCAAACCAAAAGACTAAGAAGAAGTAATTTCAAGCCCATTTCACAGCAGGAAGAATCTAATCTAATCCAATGCATTTCATGATTTTCCCTAAGGCCAGTTGCTAGTAAGAGGTGGCTGGGTTGGGGACCGATTTGGACCGGACTGTCTTCAAGCTCTCAGCCGTCCTGCTGAGCTTTGTGTCTACAGGTTAGGTTCCATTAGACCAGGGTTCTCAGTCTTGATGGCAGTCTCCATAGCACCTAGCAGAGTCTTGTAGTAGTACAGGCTTGGCACATATTTGAAATGAAATGGAAAAACAAGTAAACTTTGATCATTGGCATTTTTCCCAACTGGTGTCTCCAGACTTTTTTCTGCAAGATGTTAATAAATGAATCCTGAAAAAGAGTTGAGTGGATGCCAGTTTCACTGCTAAAATTTCTTTAGTGAAGCCAATGAGTATGTTGATGTTTTTTGGACATGATTCCATATTGCAGATGAGAAAACAGAAAGGCGGTTTGGGGCTCTTTGTAGGGCTAATGGGGAGATATACTTTCTGCAACTTGAAAGATGATGCATTGTCCTTCTAACATGTTAGAACAGGTCAAAGCTCCTATTCCTCAAGAATCTGATGAAAATAATGACTTCTCTCTGCAGCAAAATGCCATCAATACACATTTTCAGGCAAAACCTCCAGGTGAAGCCCATGGACCCCAGTTTAGGAAGCCCTGCAAAACTGTGTTTTCAAAACTTTCTTATTTAAGGTTTTAAGGACTACCTTGTGAGGTATTTGTCACCAACACCGATCCACACAGAGCACCTTTTTTTTGGGGGGGGGGGGGCAGGGTAGACACCAATATTTCCCTCAACCCAGAAGTGAGCTGAGTAATAAGGGCTCTAAAGAAAGGATCCCTCCCTGATTGACAGATTCTCTTTTGCAGAAGTTCATTGTCCTCAGTGGCAACTGAGATTATTTTAGAAAGTCTTAAGCAACAGATGTGTGGGTGTCTAAATCGTAGGGTGCCAAGGCGTCTTCAGGTGGAAGACCGCCTTTTCTGAGAATAGAGAACTTCAGAACCCAGTAAAAGGGAGACTAAATCCAAGCTCTTATTACTTTGCAATTTTTATTTAATTCATTTTCGTAGGGGATTACAGAACTGGGTCTTAATCTTAGTAAGATATCTGAACATCTAATAAGCAAATAATATTGCTAGACTGACTAAGTACTAACAAAATTTCTCACATCAGAGTAGGAAAATTCATAGAACCATAGATTATAAAACAAAAGGTGAATCCTCACCCTCATTCTGATAATTACTTGCATTTGATTATTCTTTAAAATTTTATTGAGATTTGTTTTGTGATCCAACATAGGACCTCTCTTGATGAATGTTCCATTTGCACTTAAAAGAAGCTATATTTTGCAAATATTGTATGCAGTGCCAAATAAATGTCAGATCTAGTCAGTTGATAATATTGTTTAAATGTTTCATACCCTTACTGATTTTTTGTTCTATCAACTATGAAGATTACAGGAGATTATAGACATTACAAAGAGTAATAGCCAACTATAATTGTGGATTTGTTTATTTTTCCCTTTAGTTCTGCCAATTTTTGCTTCAAGTATTTTGAAGTACTATTATTAGATTTATACTTGTTTAGGATTATTATATATTCTGGGTGAACTGAGCCTTTTATTATTATAAAATTTCTGACATTAACCACAACAGGATTCTTGTCTTTTTTACTTTCAGTGTGTTCACATTATGTCTTTATATTTAAAGAATGTCTCTTTAATCAGTATGTATTGGATATTATATTTTAAATCCAGTTTGACCACGTCTGCCTTTTTAGTGTTTAATTTAGTAATTACTGATACCGTTAGGTTCAAGTCTACCATCTTGAGATTTCGTTGTTGTTAGTTTGTTTATTTCATCTTCTGCTTTCTTTTGAATTAATTATTTTTATTATTTTACTTTATTTCCTCCATTAGCCTTTTATAATGTGATGACATGTTATAATGTGATATACTTCTATAATTTATTTTTCGTGGTTTCTCCATGGGTTATAATATTCATCCTGAATTGATCACTGTCTACCCTTACTTATGATTATTCTATTTCATATATAAGGCCCTAGTCAGTATATTCAGTGTAATTTTTTATACCCCATCTCATCCTTTGTGCTAATCTTGTTATATATTTACTTCTACATATGTTATCATAACAGATTATTTAACCTTCACAGTAATGCTGTGAAATGATGTTATTATCTCCGAGTTCATATTGTGGCTCTGGAGCTGTGTGAACTTGGACAGCCTCTCAGTTTCCTCTCGGCCAAATGTGGGTAATGCTCTTTTTTCCACACAGAGCTGTTGTGAAAATCTGAGTGAACCCATGTCATGTATTTTGGATAGTCCTGGCATATAATAAACATTCAACAAATGTTAAGTCTCATTTCATTATTATCCATTTTATAGATGAAGAAATAGAGGCTTCGTGAGGTTAAGTGGCTAAGTCAAGGTCACACAAGGTAAAAGTGAAGCTTTTCAAACAGGTTCTACCGGATTCCAACCAGACTTTTAACCATTCAACTGACTTTGCTTCCTTATCTATAGAATTTGACTGTGAATGAGAATAAGAATTTGATAGTCGATAATTGCCTATGACAAAGGGCTCTTGAAAAGTTTTATTGAGACAGCACGGAAGAAGGACTAGTAAATATGCACTGTGGTAACTCTTAACAAGCACACTGCTCCTATTTTACCACAGCTGGGGCCTGCAGGCTAGCTGGTAAGTGGCAAAGCCAGGACTCATACCCAGGACAGCAAGGTCTTCCCTTGCTGTCACTGGTGCCTCCTCCCAATAACTAGGTTGCACAAATATTCTCCATGGGTTTACTGTAATTAATAGCTCCTACGAGTGCTCCCACCAGTGGAGAAAACCCCTCTAACACAGGACTAGTAAAAAACCACCCTTATATACACTCACAAGGATAAATATATGCATCCATATACATATATACACCCTGATAAGAGAATGAATAAATTGTGATATGTCCACATAATGGAATAATATAGAAGAGTGAAAATGGATAAATGATAGCTAACTGCAATGACATGGAAGAACAATGTTCAGTGAAAAAAGTAAAGCCCAGGAAATCACTTAAAATATAACAGAATTTTTTAGAGTTCAAAACAAACAACTAAATATATTTTAACCAGGTCTTCTTTCCTTCATTTCCTTCATTTCCTTTCTTTTTCCTTCCTCCCTCCCTTGCACTATCTATCTATCTATCTATGTGTCCATC